TCTGATTGCAATTGACTCGTTTGAGTGTGTGTGACGATTTGTTGGGATCATTATGAGTGGCTGTAAGATGCTTTCTACGGAGACAGCGGGTGAATTATGACGAATTTTCATGATTAATAAGACCAGTCACTACTCAAATCTTGCGTGACCCATTCTTTATAATTATAAATACCCACACAAACACGGACGCCATAAATTCCTAGCTACCCAATAACTCCAATCCAACTCATGGTTGTTAGGGTTTAAAGCCTCGTGGTTTTTTTTGGCTTGCTGCAGTCACTTGAAAAGTCATTAATATTTAATACCGAGTACTGGGACGCCAAGTTGGCAAGATACTGTTTATCTACTCTCAATCATGAACGAAGCAGAGCGTGGAGTCTGATGCCTGGGGTCAATCCATATGTGAAAACTGAAACTTTCCATATTATTTACTGCCGTGTCTGCGAATGGAAAGGGACGGGAAAAAGTGGCAGATTAAAAAAGGGAAGAGAAACAGTGTGAACTGGGAAGTTACTATTTATGTTTATGTGAAGCAAACGCCTAACGGCCTTCCAGGTTTGAGGCAAAGCAGGTTATATTTATCCATGGCGGTTTCTTAATAAGCCATAATCTCACCTGACCTTTTGGCGGTTTATGTTTTACCCCGGGCGCTTGGACTTGGAGGCTTTCTCGCGAACTGCGATTGATTGTTCACTCTGTTATTTCCATAAAGTCCCATCATGCCAGCTCCTCTTTCCGTTCCTTTTGCTTTCCCTTTCTCACTTTCTGCTTATTCCTTCCTTCTTTCCTTCCAATTGATGTTCAAACCTTCATCTTCCTCTCACCCCCACTCATTTCTCATCCCCAATTCATGAGGTCACTCTCCAATGCTTGATCCTTCCTCTCCCGCCATGAACGACCAGCTCTCCAGACCCACCTCAATCTTCGGACTCCGCTTGTGGGTTGTGCTCGGGGTATGTGTAGGAGCCGCCATCGTGCTGCTTCTCTTCCTCCTTTCAATCTGGCTCGTTTCAAAGCGCTCCAAGACTAACCCCACTCAAAGGCCATCCATCCCGCTCGTCTCCAAAGAGATCCACGAGATTAGAATCGACCATCACCACGATTCCAAGCTCAGAGGGACCCGTATCCCAGTCGACCCGTCTCCCGAACTCGATCCAATTCCCGGAATTGAGCGCCAGGCTCTGCTCCCAGCATCGGAAGAAGAAAGCCCATCGGGGATCAATAGAATTCAATTTGAGATTGGGAAGAATCACAGAATTGCGTACCCTGAGCGTGCTCTGGCTCGGTCGTCTTCACACGGAAGCGGGGAGGCACGGCCCGTCGACCAGGGGCCTACGGTGATTCCTGAAGTCTCGCATTTGGGTTGGGGCCACTGGTATACTCTGAGAGAGCTTCAGGACGCGACGAATGAGTTCGCCGACGAGAACGTCATCGGGGAAGGCGGCTACGGAATTGTTTACCATGGTATTCTGAAGGACAATACTCATGTCGCTGTTAAGAATTTGCTCAATAATAGGTACTTTCTCCCATTTACGCATTATTCTGGTTTGTTACCAAATAATCAAGTTTGGTATGTGATGTGTTCATCGCGTAAGGGGACAAGCTGAGAAAGAGTTTAAGGTCGAAGTGGAAGCTATAGGACGAGTCCGACACAAGAATTTAGTAAGGTTGCTAGGATATTGCGCTGAAGGAGCTCATAGGTACTCCCTTGTAACATCTGCAACCACTAATTACTCCTATTTTATATCTATATTCCTTTATAAGAGCTCTCTCTATGTCAACAAATTCTTCTCTCTGTAAAACGTTTTGACAGAATGCTCGTATATGAGTACGTTGACAATGGGAACTTAGAGCAGTGGCTGCACGGGGATGTTGGGCCTTGCAGTCCTCTCACTTGGGAAATTCGAATGAACATTATTTTGGGAACAGCGAAAGGGTACGTAACAAGTTAATTTATTGATCTCTGCTTTACTTCCTTTTTATTCTGAAGTCTAAACTGATCAGATATTTTCTTTTTTGGTGAAACTGATCAGATATTTGATTCAACAGGTTAGCTTATCTTCACGAGGGGTTGGAACCAAAAGTTGTTCACCGTGATATTAAATCAAACAACATTCTGATCGACAAGCAATGGAATTCAAAGGTGTCAGACTTTGGGCTTGCCAAACTCCTCGGCTCTGAGAGCAGCTACATTACAACACGTGTCATGGGCACTTTTGGGTTTGTAAATTCTCCCTTCTATTCTATCACCTTCAGTTGCCAGCAATTGCTTGACATCTTTTCCCTTTGGTAGATACGTAGCTCCCGAATATGCAAGTACTGGAATGTTAAATGAACGAAGTGATGTGTACAGTTTCGGAATTCTTATAATGGAAATAATTACAGGCAGGAATCCAGTTGATTATAGTCGGCCTCCAGAAGAGGTTTTTCGCATATCTCACTTTTGTCATTTTGATACTGCTGTTGCAGTCTGTTCCTACTTCTTGTTCTTGTAACTAAAAATGATGATTTTCAGGTGAATTTAGTTGACTGGCTCAAGAAGATGGTTAGTAACAGGAATGCAGAGGGAGTGTTGGATCCCAAGCTCCCTGAGAAACCAAGTTCAAGGGCACTCAAGCGAGCCCTTCTTGTTGCTTTGCGTTGCACTGACCCTAATGCACAAAAGCGACCTAAAATGGGGCATGTCATACATATGCTTGAAGCTGAGGATTCTCCTCACAAAGAGGTAATAAAGCAAGCAAACTAGGTTAAAAAAAGGGATGTACAGCATAAAATCTATATTAGCTTCCCTTTTATTAGTTAATGTTGAGATGACTCAAATTGCTTTAATCGATTGAGATTATTTTTATTTATTATATTGGCTTAAAATTCATCATATCTCCATCATATTTATAAGTGATATTTTAGGAGATATTATTGATTAGCCAAGTTAATATTTTTAGCTTTTTTTAGAAACTCTAAGCATATCTAGTCTCTCTGTCCTTATAAAGATGAGACCATCATTGTGAGTTTTGTTTTTCAGCGGAATTTCTCAGTCTCTGCCTTTGGTTTTTTGTCTCTCACGCTGGGGTTTTCCATGTCACATTTTGTGTGTCATCTTCGACTATTTTATCTTATTTTATTTCTTGATCATTTTCAATTGTTTTTTCTTTTTATATACTCTGCTTCTGCAATCCCGACCATTAAGAAAATATATCAAGACATGATACATATTGTGAAAACAATTTAAATTTGGAAAAAAAATTATTGGAAGCCGTGCTTTCAATTAAATGGAGTACTATTTTTCTGGAAAAATAAATAAATAAATGGAGTACTTCCTTTCCATTAGCAAACTGTTTTGAATGTGCAATAAGAGAAAGACCTTGAAGGACTTTTATTAGTGATCCATTATCTTAACAGACGTTAATGTTCAATGCTGCTATGACAACTTCTGAGTTATTGTGATAAGATCTAAGGTAATTTGCATCTTAGCAATGCTACTCTTGTGCTTTCCAAGTAAACCAGGCCACAATAATACCACATTGTACGTAGTAGATGGTGACCATTGCGTATATCCCTGATATTTTCATGGTCCTACCACCATGAAGCTGACTTTTGTCACTTTGGTCATCTCAGGATCGGAGGGCAAAAAGGGATGCGGGAAATTCAGCTAATGATGAGGATAGGTTAAAAGAGGAGGCAACTGTGACAAGTGATGATGGTAAAGTTTGAGAGAGAGATGCAGCAAAGCCAGTGAGACAAGACCACGCCTTCAAGGGGAAAAGCAACGAATTATGCATAGCTGTATCTATAATGAATCAGAAGCTTGTGTTGCCCAACGCCCATTACTTTACAACCTGTCATTTGCAACTGCTAAATGCGATTTTAGTCCACCAGGCTCCAGCATAATTGGTCTTGTATATATATTTTGGCTTCTTAACCCCAGTCCATAGCCTCAATACCTTCAGAAGGAGCTCTGCTTTATTTTCTCTGTTCTTGCCTTTGCCTTTATGGAGGGAAGCTTGCAGCTTTATGTTGGATCGGGGCATGTAAAGTTATATCATATTATAGCTGATATCATCCATTATGAAGTGGTTGTTATATGTCTTTTTTTTTTGATCTGCCTGAACTTTGAAAACACAGTGCATTGTCGATATTGTTTTTACTACAGCAAAGAACACTCAAAGACGAGATGATATCGAGACTGTCAATTTTATTTGTGTATGGAGAGATGGATGCGCGCATGCGTGCATTTTATTTGGGGAGTTCTATGTAATTTGCCCTTCGATAACCTTGTTCTGTCCATATCTTGAAAACCCTCATTCTATGATCTACTTTGACAACTCGATATCTGGCTAGGAAGTGAGGAAGTTGTTCCCAATACAAGATCAAGTTCCTCCTCCAAGAGTTCCCTATATTTTTTTTTGGGTGCCAAGAGTTTCCTATTTAATTTATTTTTCTCTGATCGTAACTTTTGTGAACATAAAAGGAGCATTCAAATGCTTAAGGTGCAGCGTCGAACGCGAGGGCATCCATTTGTTACATAAAGAAAGAATTGATTGTGGCCTCACTTTGGGAAAGGTCCTTTCAATGGCCCGACTTTGTTGATCCTAGACAGCCATTAACTCGGCTTGGTTCCCCACAAGCCATGTGCTTCTTATTGTTGTTGGTATAACCAGTACAATTATATCGCTGGAAAAACTGTGCCTATGATGAAACTTGAGCCTCGTAGTAACAATCTACTCCCGGTCATATTTATAAACTCCAAATTTAGAGTTTAAAATTTACTTTATAAGTTTCAATTTAAAATTTACCTTAACACTTAATACTTTTTTCTCTCTTAATTATTAATTCTCTCTTTTATCATATTCTTTTTTATCATATTTCCCTACAGACTTTGTTTTATCATTTATTTATTATAAGGATATACTGGGAAACAAAAATATATTTTTAATATATTTGTTGTTTTTAACTAATTATTCATTATTTATAAATTAATTATTTGAAATAAGAATAAGAGCAATACAAAGGCAGCACATAATAATAGACAGAAAGAACCATAGGAATATGTGCACATTTAAACAAAGCTAGTCATGATAAATAACCGCGAAGAGAGCCACATTAAGGGGGAAAAGACTCCCAATTCCCCACAATTCTCAGAATGAAAAATGAACAGACAAACCAATATATTCACATGCCCAAAATGTGGAGCAAAGGATACATCCTATAACCATGCGAAGATCGTCACCGTGGCCAGTAATATTCCTTGCAGTAACTTGGCCGGTTTGTCCACGTCAGCTAAGTTTGCAGCAGTTTGGGGTGGCGGGTTCCCTCCGGACGCCTCCAATGCAGCAGGTGGAGGCGGAGAAACGGGAGGAGCATCACAAGTGCCAAACGTAGCGTTTGCCTGCTCATATGTCGCAAATACTCAGTCGAATGTCTAAGGTTTGCCTTCTAAAAGTACCTACTAACTAATACATACACTTCTCACTTCATACTCTCATTTACATCTTCACATGCCCTCATATAGCACCCCAACCTTGCTATGTTAAAAAGCTATAAAAAAGTATGGAAGGAAATGGTGGAGGAAGTAAAACCTTGCAATACGCAATGTTGTCGCACCCACAAGTCAGATGACCATTGGCTTCGTCAACAGCTTCTGGGGCTCCTCCGCCATCACTCCTCTTCAACAACAGTCATCATCAATAAATTATGAACTATTTACGGAGGTGAAGTACATAACACAATCAGCAGGATTGAGGATTTGAGAATCCACGTACCTGGTAATAATCAACAGCAATGAAATTTGGCCATCGTTTGCCAGCTGCATCGTAGCAAGTCTTCATCATGTTAAGTAATGGAGCAGAATTGTCCGCACAAGCTTGAGATCGATTGGGGGCAGAATGAAAGAAGTTCTGGAGAACCAGGGACCTTGATTTTGTGTTCATTGAAGGCGACTCCGCGCGATTTGGACACGAACCTGCTACCATCCCTTCATCTCCATCTGAAATCCCCCAACAAACAAAACAGGGCTTAAGCTCTGCAAGACTGTAGCCAAAAATGAAAACAGAAAAAAGGCACATCAAACAGGCTTCTCATTCTAGTCCCAGGATTAAACTCACATTGATTTTCAACCACATATTTCCACTGGTAAGCAATGCCCTCGGAAGCTTCCTTGGAAGATTTGGAGGTGAAGACAACGAAGCGTTGATTCTTCTGCACCATGTCATCGACAGTAGGCCAATCTCCGCCATTCTTGGGCATCCGAGACAGTGGGAACATATACTTGCTGAGGCCAGAAGCTTGGAAGATCTTAGTTAGGCCGTTGGGGGATGTGACATAGTCCTCAATGAAGATGGTGACAATTTCTGAGGGATTCTTGTCCAGAAAGGATCGAATGTCTTTGAGCACGTTAACGGCAGGTTGCTGGGGATACAAAGTGAAATTAGGAATTGAGTGATCGAGAGGCAGAGGAAGATGTTACACCGTGTGAAATATTGAAAAGGACCTAATTAAGTTTCAAGCCCATAGAATGAGCGAACAGAGTCACGCACTTACGAATGCAGTGAAGTTGTAACATTTGCCTTGAGCCGAGTGACATAACCACACATCATTCTGAAAGTCATACATGTCCAACATAAGTCCTCGAACGCCATTCTGCAGCGCACACCCAGCAGCCAAGTCAGAAACATGTCGATCGTAATCTATTCTAAATGCTAATAACTTTTTTTGTCACATTTGCAAGTTGTGGAATCACGACTGCAACCGCTGCAGAGAAAGTCAATAATTTTAAAGGATCACATGACCCCCACTGTATGCTATCTCTGTATTTATTTGTTTTCCTATGTTAATATTCGTTTCCCGATTCATGCCCTCAAAATTCCACGATGCCCAATAATATTTAAGAGTAGGCAGCGCGTATTAGCTAGTGTCTGTCGTAATAAAATCAATAATTAACAATATTGTAAATCTTTGTCCGGACACTGGACTGAGAATAAAAGAAAAATAAGAGCAATCAGGAATGCATATACATAAAATAAATATTTAAAAATGCATTTATAAACCATGTCCATTCATTAGTTGGCGAATCCGATGCTCCCCACCTTTGCGAAAATGGAAGTGAAATCGGTGATAAATCTCAAGTTAATGAATGGAACCGAAAATAGGTGTTCTATTAATTTCAAGTTGGTATCATAAATTTTGAATGGATGGATTTAAGAGATTAAGAAATAAGAGGAGAGAGATAGATATTAAAAATAGCACATTTCTCTTGGTTTTGCGGAGAAAAAGAAAAAAGGAAGCACATACCTGGAGTTGAGCGGCAACAGTGTCTTCCTGATTCATAGGAGTTATGAGGAAAGAACCGGTGGCCGATCTAGCTCCGGCGAGGGCGAAAGAGTTGTGAGTGGTGAGCCACGAATACCGATTAAACGCCAAACCTTTCACCTAAACAACCAGGAAAAAAAATTAAAAACAATTTAATAAAATGAAAATGGGAAATTTGATCGACCTTGGCAGCGGGACCCGTAGGCTGGATCCGGGCACATCGGGGTCGGGTATTCCCATTCGCAGCGCACGTCTGGCAAGTGAGGCCGGCATCGCATTTGTTCTGCGACCCACAGGTTTCTCCGATCTGCTACCACATAACATAACCCATTTAAAACTAGCAAATATTAGAGAGGATTAGCGTCTAGTGGTGTACAGAACAAGAGGAAGGAACCAAGAGTAAGAGGAGGACCTTGAGGGCGGACGAACAAGAGAACAGACAAATTGCGATTACAAGGAGAGAGGTCCGTAAATTACGATGGCAAACAAAGGCCTGCAGAAAATGAAACAGGGAGTGGGATTTGGCGAGTCAAAAAGAGATGAAAAGAAGTAAAAGGGAAGAGAGGGCGTGCTTAGGCTTGCCTTCATTGGTTGAGTCTGTGAGTTGAGGCTTCTCCGTGGGAGGGAGAAGGAACGGTAAGAGCAGCTTGTGTGTACGGTGTGGGTGGGAAACAGAGCTGAGGATTGATGGGAGAGACAGAGGGAGGGAAGAGGAGGGATTTGGTGAGGGGGAAACGGTGGGAAACGAAACGGGCGACGTCAAATGTCATGGCCCCATTAGGTGAATTCACCTTCTGCCTTCCACCCTCTCCCACCTTCCTTCGGGCAACATCAAATCAGGATGCGTCCTCTAAACAATCATCATCATTTGTACTTTTATCAATGTCAGGAAAATGAGCTGGCTCATTGTCTAGTTACTCGGAGGGTTTAAAATATTCTCCATAAACACGATTTATATAAATCGGGATAAAATTTTTTATATATATTTATCTCATATTTAATAAATTATTATTAAAAAATTATTTATAACTATTCCAAACAAACCCCTTATTCACGGTTTAATAGTTAGATTATTGTTTGAATTATGATTCCACCGGGTGGAAATTAATTAGTATATTTGAATAACATGAGCTGAAAACAAAAGAAAATAATTTTTTAAAACCAAAAAGTAATATATATAAAAAAAAAAAGATATCTATCGATGATTGTCCTCATCAATAATTATTTCATAATTTATAATTTGTAATTATAGAAAATGTATATCTCTTGTTTCAAAACATGTTTCTTAAATAATTGTTCATTTTTCATTCTTTTGTAGTGCTTATTAATTAGGTATAAATTATAGTTTGCAAAATAGATTAAATTTATATATACATATATATAAGAATATACCAACCATTAGCTTTGGTTGCTTAAAGTCAGTTTTATCAATTTTTAACTGGTCCGCTGGACGCTGGTTGAAGCGGGAAAAAATGGCTCGCTGGTTTTTTAATTTCTTGCAATAAACGCTCCGGACACCGGACTGGTACGGTTTAATCGGTCCCATCATCTGGTCCCGTTTAGTTCTCAGAGCACAAAAGAAAAAGTACCATGTGGTTTCTAAAAAAAAAAAAAAACTTATAAGTAAATAGAAGAAAATAACAATTAAATTCACGCTACTTATTTGTTATTAAAAAACTAATGCTACTTTTCTACTAAAAAAAAATTAATGCTACTTATTTGTTATTACAGAATTTTTATCATTATACTTTTTTAGTCCTTGTAACGATTTCCCCTCGTTTTTATTGTAACTTTTCAAGAAAACATTTAAATTATATATAGAAAATTTATACAACAATTACAATGTTAGTATGGTATTACCTCCAGTGCTTAATATAAGACCTTATTTAATTTTTATTTTAATCCTAAATATAAGATCCTAATCTATTTTATTTCTTATATTTATCTATTTTTTTTCTAAGATAGTTTTTATAATAATAGTAGTTCTGAATAATAAACTTAATTAGAAATAATATTTTATAAAAGACAACACATATTTATTACAAATAACTAATTTAACTTATTTTCTTAACCTATTCAGATTAGTTAATTGATTTTTATATTTAGGATTGGAGGGAGGTAGTATCTTTTTACTTGCCCTTGCCTTTGAAATTGTTAGAGTCATTCTAACATTTATTTATCAGTGGAGGAAAGTGGGAATTTTCTTAACGCTATCAAGATTGCGGAACCATTAAAGTGTTGTTTCTTTTTTCCGGCAAGACCATTATATCAACAGAATCCAGAAATTGGTAGTATTTAAAATATATAAATAATACAAACTATTTCGGGTTTTTCCTATTTTTATCCTTTTAGTTTATCACGTATTTTACGGAACTTGTTGTAATTTTCATTCATATTGTACACCTTTTTGTACATTTTATATAACGAAAAAAATGAAAACGATCTCTTGAAAATTGCTGGGTGAAAAAAATAGCTATTTTGAACGAGAACAAAAAGAAGAGAAGTGATTTATACACAAAAAACTACCTCCACTCTTTAATTTGAGTGGACTGAAAATGTTTATTAAATTAGTTGTTTATAATAAATAAATATAAGAAACAGAGTGGTTTGAGATCTTATATTTTTTAAAGAAACATCTCCATTTAATTTCCTCTCCATTTGCTCTCTATTTATTATTTTTACCATTAAATTAACATTCAATAGTTGAGATTTAATATATTATAACAATATTATTATAATATTAATTAAACAAAAAATACATATAAGCAGTCAGAAATTAATATGCGTACATTACTTTTGTAAATTTTTATTAAAATATTTTATAATTTTTATTTTCATCCTATGCTGTCTGATTATAATAATATCATAGTATTTACTTATGTATAGATTAAAGTTGTTTATATACGTTTGAGTAAAATACTCTAAATACCCTTCTGATTTGCATCAATTACATAGACTTTTACTCTATTTTAAAAATATATAGTTTAGTCTAATTAGTTAACACTGTTATAGATATTCTTAAAAGATTCTAAAAATATTAGTTTTAACTAAAATTTATATTAAAATAAATTTTATTTACTATTTTACTGCTCGTTCTAAAAAATTTCTAAATTATATTTTTACAGTTACGTAGATTTCATTCAGTTAAGACAAACATAAAAAATTTGATTAAAAATTTAATTAAATTTTTAATAAATATTTATGTACTTGACTAAATATATTTATAAATTTTTATAATAAAAATGTGTTAAAAGTTTTGAATTTTAAATTTAAATAATTTATAAAATCTTTCAAAGTCATGTCATTTAAATTTTACGATAAATAAAAACTATGTATTTGAAATGTGTTTTTACAATTTAAAAGAAATCAGAGTAAATAATTTCTAGTGGATGTGATAAAATATTAAAATTATAAAATTTTATGACTTCAATCAAAATTAATAAATTTTGCAACATATTTAAAAAATATGCATATTTTGGTTAGAAAGATAATTTAAAGCCAAATTTAACAATCAACTAATGGTTTAGGTAGAAAGAAATGAAATCTTAAATGCATAAGGGAAGTTTGTGTAACATATATTTTAATTGTAAGAGAGGTTTATATATGTTTTCAAGATAGAATGAAGGTTTTTGTAATTGAGATAAAATAGAAGAGTGATCAGTATTTTACTCTATATATTTTTATTATATAATATTATAATATTTTTATAATATATCAAATCTCAATCATTACATACTAATCTAATGGTAAAAACAGTGAACGGAGGGAAGTGAAGAGAAAGTTAAATGGAGATATTCTTTTCTGTTTATATTTAAGACCAAATTAACAAACTAGCTGTTATATTAAAGGTCACATGAAGTATAAGAGATTCAACTTTTTAATAAGTTCAATTTGTAAATGAAAAAATTTCATTTAAAAAAAAAGATTGACTTTTAAATATAAAATATTTTGTCTTATGGACATGCAAATTTGATCGTAATAAAACAAAATTTTTTTTTCCGACGTTATCTGCGACTCATGGATAATTTCTCTGAGAAGATTAATCAAAGAGCGTATGGAAGAGGGCCATGAAGATGGGGTGTGAAGGGGAATATGATGAGAAATTAAGAATAAAAAAACAAAAATATAAAAAGAAGGGGGAGATCCTGTTCGATGCGGACACGTGATATGCTTGGTGCATAAGGAAGGTCAGTGTCATGAGTAATTCGCAGCATTAGTCCCTCTCAATTTTCCTATTTATAAGGGCCTCTTATGTGGACGCACATCACATGTGGCCGTCCTTCCCATTTTAAATGATGCAAAATTGCAAATCAGTGAATTACTCCCCTCTCCACCACTCCCCAAAAAAATACCAATACCAATACCAATAATAATAATAGTCAGTTAACAATAACAACAATATAAGAGTTGGATATCATTTTAATTTTGATTTCTACAACTTGAAACTGATAATTTTGGTTCATAAAATTTTAAATCGGTATTTTAATTCCTGAAATTTAACTTTTATTTTGTTTGACTTAAGATTTTTTGTCCTTGAAGTAAAGATTAAAATTACTTGTTTTAAAATTGAAGAACCAAAATTATTTGTTTTAATTTTCAAAAATTAAAATTAAAATGAAATTAGATTTTTGAAAGTAAAAGGTCGTATTAATTTATACTAGTAATATAATAATAAAAGCCCCGCTTCTCAATTCTCGTGAACTACTTCTTTTGTTTCTTTCTTTTCCGTTTTTTCCCCCAGCGTGGTGGCGCCTTTCTTTTGCCTTCAACTAATAAAGTGTTTAGATAGAATCAAAGTCATAGTTGTAAAAATATTTTATAATGTACAAAAAAAATATGTAAAAAAATTTATTCTGATTTATAAAAAAAAATATTTTTAAAAAGTGCCTTCACACTAATCCAGACACCTCCATTTAGGAGGTGTTTTGATAGCACCAGAATTGCTTTTAAAAAGCATTTTTTTATAAATTAAAATAAATTTCTCTACATATTTATTTCGTACATCATAAAAACACTTTTAAAATCATGATTTTGTTTCTACTTAAACACTTTTAAGTGGCACCAAGCTTTGAATGTAACGAATTGGGTGATGATAATTAAACAAGAGAACAGCTTTGTTTCCCGTTTTCGCAAGCATCAGATTCTGCACTAATCTAATCATATCCATAAAGAGACGTTATAATAATTATTTGCAGTCTGCAATACAGGTGTAAAATTCCTTATTTTTTGGGGCCGGCGTATTCGCACAGGTGTAAAATGCCTTATTTTTTTTGGGCCGGCGTATTCGCACAGGTGTAAAATCCCAACACATTTATATTTATAAATCAATGTGTCGTGTTAATCTCGCATGCTTGTTCAGCCAAAATAAGTACATCTACTTACGTAATTTAATTTTTTAAAAAAAAGTGGAATTGCGATTCATTTGAAATCAGTTTTATTTACTACTACCTCCGGTTCTAATTATAAGACCCAGTTGACTAATTTGGAGAGATTAAGAAACTTAGTTAAGTTAGTTATTTGTAATGAATATGTGTTGTTTTTCCTAAAATATCCTTACTAATCAAGTTTGTTATCTAGAACTACTATTATTAAAGGACTATCTTGGAAAAAAAATAGATAAATATGAGAGACAAAGTGGATTGGGGTCTTATATTTAGGACCAAAATAAAAGTCAAACGGGGTCTTATATTAAGAACCGAAGGTAGTATATTTTAGTAATAATTAATAATATTTAAAAAGTAAATATCTGATTTGAGATGTTAAAAATTTTAGAGGTGCTGTTTTTTTAGGATTTTTTTTTTTGACATTTTAGTCGAAT